GTTTTTATTTCCATCTAAAAGTTTTTTTTTTCAAACACTGGAATTGGTCCATCTGACACAGGGATTGTTAGTATCATTCTGTAAAACTTCAGATCCAGATTAATGCTAGTTTATTAAGTTTAGTTTTAGATTGTTATAAATGTGTAGCTGTATTTAGATACACTTCTAGGTGCTAATAAAAAAATAACACTTTTGGAAGTATGGTGGGAATTTAATTGAGAAAGCTATGCCCAGGTCGACTGAGGGAGTTAGTAAAACCTCTATCATGACATACCCAAGACACAAGGTCCCAAGATGTGGAATGGTCGATCCATCAGTGTTTGTCTGAGACACTCAAAGTTGATGGCAGCCATTCTACTCATCTTCTCCCACAAGCCATCTTTAGCAGACATTTTTGTTCTTTACATGAAGAGCCATTACTTACAAAGTGCTCATAGGGCCGGGAATTGAGGTGAGTGCAGGTACACACATTATTATCTCATTGAACTCTCATGAAGATAGATGCGATCGTGTAATGTAAGGACTACAGAAAGGTCAAGAGACTTGATCAAGTTTACCGAGCAAAGAAGTGCTCAGCAGGGCTGTGCACGCGACTCTGTGTGTCACTTCCCAAAGGTGCAGACTTCTTGGAGGGAGAGTGATGAGCTCTGCCCACCCTTGCCCCATAGCCTTGCTGCCCTGCCAGGCCCAGTCCCTCTATCCTGGTGGCTTTGTCTCCACTTTGGTTAAGGTCTTTACCGTGTTATTATCACGTGTCTCTTATCTTTCCCACTTAATTGTAATCCTGTGATTGTGTCAGTTGTCCTGGATCCATTCTTTCATCCCTGGAAGGTTCTATGGTACCTCAATGTTCCTTTAGTTAGTGGTAGCACCATGAAAATGTGTTGAATTAATAAAGAAATGAATGGATGAATGAATGAAATACTGAATTTACCTGGTCTCTAAAGACCATGAGCTATGGCAGCAGTTTAAAATACATAGTCCTGATCAAGGAGCTCTTACTAAAACTATAGTGGGTCTCTGAGAGAGATGCTGGGGGCAGAAGTGGGAGAGCAGGATGTGTGTGGTCCCCGGGGAGCCTGAAGGGCTCTCCTCCCTTGGGAAGATGCAGTTCAAGTTTCAGCCTCCATCATCTCCTTCCTGTGGTTCCTCCTGCTCTCTAAAGATTATGAATGTTCTCATCAAGATACCAAATTCCTTGAAAGCCTGGTTTCTGCGTTGTGGTTTGAAAGCCACTCTGATGACACCACAGCCACCACCAGGCCACAGCGCTTTTCCTGTCGACATGTAGACAAACTAAACAGGCCTTGCAGCAAGTGAGACTTCTTTTGGGCAAAATATTTCAGGGCTGCTTTTAAGATTTCTCTGACAAAACAAATGATAAAAATCTATGTATGTACACAGACTGCTCTGTCTCTGTCTTCTGCTGTGATTTGTGATATTACTTCCCTTGTACAAATAACTTTGTTTGTCTTAGTCCAGTCTTGCCTGGGAGTTGGGGTTTCCTTGTCAATTTTTGCTCCAAGGCAGGCCTGCTTAGGAAGGGTGAAGAGGGCCCCAGACATCTTCCAGGCCTCCTGCCTCTCAGACAGAGCTGTATGTCACCCTTTGTTACAGCCTCAGAGAGAGTTCAGCTTGGATGCTTGAAAAACGACCTTTCAGGATTTCTTGTTAGAAAGCTTAGATCTAACCTTGTTATTGAAGTTGCAAGAAAGTTCTTTCAACTTCTAAGCTTGTAGCAGGGAAGAGCAAAGTCATGTGCATATACACACACACTATATTCATATACCATACAATCAACATGTACACACTATATTCGTATACCATACAATCAACATGTACACACACACTATATTCATAAACCACACAATCAACATGTACACACACACTATATTCGTA